GACACGCTGTCTTTGCTTGGCAAACTGTTTTGTTGACACAATTGACATAACAGGGTGGACCAGATGAAATTCAAAATGAAATATGCTTGGCTGATTTTTGAAGGGACTCATTTTGCATCTATTGTTCCTTCAGGGCTGTACATGAGGTCTATGGCTATCCTCTGATATTATATGTATGGAAATCAAGATATAACTGTTACATTTATTGAACATACATTTTCCAATTTGAGAGCACAGTGGACCTACTGTGACTGTATATGATGGAGTAGTGGAATCATGTTGGTACATATTGTCATGTCATGAAATAAGGATGTTGCTTGTGAGCAGCATGAACATTGTGTGCATGATTACTTCAGGGGGGCATGACTGCTGATATTTCCAAAGCTGTTATTCAGAAATCATCTTTACAAAGTTGTATTAATCCTGACCTATCTGAATTAAAGGCAATTTAGGACAAAGCAGAGAACAGATGTTGCAGAACATTAATAGTGTCTGCAGAGAATGTGATATATCTGAAAACATTGTATGTGTTATGTGTGACATATATGACAAAGGAGAAGAGAGATTTTGAGCAATGAAACAGAAGAGTAATCCAGTTATTCTTTAAACTATGTTATAAACAACCAGACGCTGGCTGTACGGGGGATTATCTGTTACATTGGAGTTGTCCTATCTAAAAACAGCTACATCATTTGTGTTGCTTGTTCCCTGCTGACTCTGCTCTGAACTAAACACATTCCCTCTTCAAAGAAACATAGAGTTCGGTTAGATCCTATAATTAGAACATTGTTGGTGTTCATCATGCTGTGAGACCACTAGCAGGTTAGCAAGCCATCACGCAGTTTTAACTTTGTTTAGCTTCACCTGGATTTAAGAATTTGAGTGAATTCTGCTGTCAATCATCATCAGAGTGAAGCAACATGTACATCACCTTGGAAATAACCAGCAGTTAGGGAATCACAATAGTAGGAAGTTATAAGAAAAGCATTTACACACGGAGCACCTCAAGGCAAGAGTTTGCATCCATGACTCACATATGTGTCACTAGAGTGCATCTCCTGTCAGTCAAAGATACACCAAGGTCACAGGCAGCTTGACTGACAGCACACTTACCAAGCCCCCCGCGCGCTCTCTCTTCAGCTCCCTCTGATAACAGGGTTCCAGTAGAGGGGATCTAATACCTGCTGATGGTGGAGTCATTCTGCTGACACTGGATCAGTGTGTTTTGGGTTTGGTCGTTTTTACAGTAATTGAGAGGACAAAGTACTTTCCTATTCATGGTAGTATTTAACGCACACACATGATTATCATGGATGGTAAGGCAGACTGAAGCAGTTTGCAGGCTCATGTTTTTTCTCTTCTTCTACAATTGCTGTTAATTCTAAATGATTTTTCAATGATCTTTTCTTTAAAGCTGCAATCAAATACTCATTTTCATTGTTTCATGAAAATAGCCAAACAAGGAACATATCATCTTCTTCAAGGACCTGACGGTGACGTTGACAAAGTGTGACATAAAGTTATGAAGGCAATTTGTATAGCAAATGTTGAACTGCTGTAGTTTGTTACATATCTGAGATCTAGATCAGTCCCGGTCATTATTTATAATTGTTCATCTTCATGTTCTGCTTCTGTCTCTTGTACTGTATCCCCCCATTATTGTATGCCAGTACACAGTAACTGTATTAGCTTAGTTGAAAGCAATAATATGATGCTGTCCACTCTCCGTGCAGCTCCGTTTGTTATTCCCAACTACTGAAAAGAATAACTAGGCCTCACATATTCCACCATGTTCATCAGCTGGCCGCTAACTTCATCTCTTCTTTATCTTCTCTTTTATACGTGCACGGTGTTTGGTGCTCAGCATGTCATTCAGAGTTTACAGAGTTATAAAAAGTGACGAGTGCAACTTGGAATTAAAAAAAGGAAACTTACGAGAGAGATAGTAATGTATCAAGTCATGGTCAAGACAAATGATTTACCACTTAAATTCACATACAACCAGTTTATGAACATCTTTGCAATCTCTGTCAAATGATATGATGGCTATACCACAAGAGTGACTACTAATCTTCATTTCCATCAGAAAACATTTCAAACAGCAAATGCAGCCGTCAATGAAGAATAAAAGAATGAATCAAATAGATATAAGTGAAACATGTCCAGAGAATGATTATAAGGAGGATTATAATGTGAAATGGCGTATGCTGATATCCTTAAACAATTAGGAGAACATATGTAGAATAAAACACGAATGACACTCATGGTGACATATACGAAAACAGACGTTAATACATTCCAGTATTAGTTATCTTTTAATGGGGATTTGGGGAATTGATTCAAGGTTATTGACATCAGTACTTATCATGTTAACCTATCTGGCATGGAAAGGGTTACAATAACCCTTAACTTTAGCATCTGTCTGATCTGCCGTTTCCAAACCCATAAAAAGTGAAATCACATCCTGTGAGAAAATCTGCAGCTGACTGTTCACCATCATCACGAGCACATAACTGAACATGTGAGTACAACGAAAGCATTCCCACATACATCGATTTCCTCCCTGCTGTTCTGTCTTCAACACATTTCTTAGGTATGCACAGGAGTGAACTGGACAATAGCAGAACATCACATTATCAATCACTTGTGCTCTAAGTATATTCTCATCACTGTACATTTCTGTCCGAGGCAGACTAAAACACCTCCCTTAAAAATGCATCTGCTGCCCACAGAACACATCGATCACTCTGCAGTCTCTGGAACAGCTTCTGCAAACCAGGTTAAAAGCACACATTCATAACACCTGGAAAAAGCTTCATAGCAGCTGCACGGTACATTCATCATTATTCAAGTTCACTCTGCTGTCTTGTTATTCATAAAGTAGTGTCATCGGAGGCCTGGGAGTGGACTGGAGCCAAATGAGGAAAAATGTCCAAAACAGCCAGGTTTTATGAATGGAAGGAGTTTTATACCAAGGGCGTTTACCCTGCTTCTCCACCACTCTCCATTTGAATACTTACTGTAGGTGATAAATATGATACAACTGCTGTTTTCTGGTGGACTGACGTTTGACTTTCAGTATGATAACATGCTCATTAAAGAAAGCCACTTCTGATGTTGTTCCTTCTTTTGCATTACTAAACACAAATCAATGTATGCTTGAGTTATACACCCCAATGCACACAAATGTGTGTTTTTTATGTAAGCTATACTTTAGATGTATAACTTTTTTTTAAAACAAGCTGATTATCTTATCAGTAAAACAAATGTCATTAAAATGTACATACCTTTAACTGTTTAATATGTGATAACATAGCAAACAATAACTTGAAAAACAAACAGAAAAACGAACTCATGCATGCATTTAGATTTTTGTCTTGACAAAACTTTCCAAAACACTGTTGTGGTCCTTTAAGAAGCTTTTTCTGCTCTGACTTGTAGAGGATTTAAAGCCTTTTCATTGATATCTCGAATTGCATCTTTTGTTAAGTAATGCTAAATTGTAGTCAGTGGACAAATAAACCAACACATGACAAGCTGCAAGCTGTTGTGGCCCTCTGGATCCTATAAAGAATAGCATAAAAGCCCCACCGTTCAACCAAGATAATTCAAACGTCTAATCTCAAATGTTTTTTATGAAATATGCATGTGTTCATGTAGAATCTTTAACTTAAAACTTACCATCAGTGAAAATAATACTGGTTAAGACTTAGACAAGACTTAAATGCCAAAAATATCTTGTAAAAAAGTTGACTAGTTACATTTAGTTTAAAGCAGTACAGGCTTCACCTCAGTGTAACATATCCGTATTAGGTTAGTTGAAAGCACTCGTTTTAAGTTTAATTAAAAAAGATTAGGTTCAGCTTAATATTATATAGACCAGAGTTCCCGTTAGCCGGTAATTACCGGACTATACGACCGGTAAAATATGCTGAAGGCCGGCAAATCTAAATCTCTCTGGTCAAAATAATTTACCCTTAGCGCAATACCGCTTCAGTTGCGCCACTTATGTGACAGACAAAAGAGTATGTGACACACAAGAATAGTCCATTCTAATGTCTAACACTTAATGTGGAGAAAGAGATGTCCTGTGTGGGTTGATTGTGCGTTGATCTGTTGGTAATGCCTCGGGGTTCCGGTGGGCATGTAAACAAATGCATAATGCTGCGCTATACTTTGTGGCCTCACCCGGTTGCATAGCAACGCTTATTGTTGAGGTGTCTTTTAATAAGCAGGTAGTCCTATCATTAACTAGAACTAGCTAGATCTGATCGATATGGACATAAACGCGAGTGAAGTCTAATCTGACGAGTCGACACGCAGCTCTGCATGATCACATGCAGCGGTGAGCGGACAAAACACACACTTCAGGTTATAATATCACACGTAGCTATTTTAATGACCTCTCAAACTACCGTAACTAGTTATAGATATGTTTAGTTTTACTGTCGGGTCACTCATTACTGATCCGCAAGCTGCATGATACTGACGGGCTGTCAGAAGAGGGAGAGAGTGCTCTGTTTATTATTCCCGTGTTCTTGTAAATTACTGTACACTTTGGAATAGTTAATCTACTATAATTAGTTTGTTTAATATCGAATCATATCAATTTGTTTTAAAGCTCAATAAATAACAAGGAAGTCCTTTGATCGGCACTTTTCAAATTTTGTCCGGAAGATTTAAACTTTAACGGACATGTTGACCGGCGAAACAATATTCTAACGGGAACTCTGATAGAGACTCTGAAAGTTTCAGGAACAAAGATTCTCTCTCTTTTTGATTTCTATAAAAACCTGTCTGAAAATGAGCTGATCAGATTTTGGCCACTTTATGATGTCATAACGATGTTTTGTCTTGTGTAACCATTAGCAACCAAGGTAACCCCCCCCCCCCTTATCACCTGAATCTCCTCCTAGAGCTCCATTGTGTTCTTTGTAACCAAATGTCTCTCAGAGGGGCGTGGGGAGGGGCTCCTTATTTTCATCTAAAGTAACAGACAGAGAATCAGCACTTTGGAAACAGGGCTGAAACAGAGGGGATTATGGGTAATGCTGCAATGATCTGTTTGGTGTTTCAGCCAATCAGAGACAGGCTGGATATATCTGAGACCTGTGATATATTGATGAAAAACAGTATAATAGGGGACCTTTAATGCACTTAATTAAAGTCAACGTTTCAGTTTTTTTAGGTTATCTGTATGTTAAACTTGAAACTTGACTGTAGTACTGACCAGCACCTTAACCCATATAAAGCTTATCATAAATGTCTGAAAGTACCATTTCATTTTTTTGTGAATATGCCGTGAAGCTGCTATGAGCGGTGTTTCAGAAAAGCAGAAAACAACAGTGCAGGAATAGTCTGTACACGTTTGAACATGTTCTACACACATTAGGATGAAAATAAATGTTTGGATGCACTATGCTGTGGGACTTTGCCTGAGAAATCAAGGTTCACCATTTATTAGTCTGAAGTGTTTATCACCAAGGACCTGTTACTCTGTTTTGCATACAACTGTAAAAATACAGTAAAATTCATCAACCACATTGCATTTTTTCCTTTTTTTATCATTTACTTAAAAAAAGCTTAATGGTTTTGTACAGATATTGAACCGGACATGACACAATAATAATAATAATAATAATCTGAATGTACACTTCAATATTAGCAATAGCAATACACAGTCAACTATCAACAGTTACACATATTTTTTCTTCTTTTTGCCTTTCACATACAAAAAGGTTTGGGGACACACAAACTCAGTAGTTCTAACATCATCATCATATTAGTGCATGATTCAAATGTCCCTCCATCGCATTGATGCCTCTCACTCTTGGCGAGCGTACAGAGAACAGACTCTGATGCAAAGCCAGAAAGAAAAAGAGAAAGAAAACTAAGAACCAACCAATGGCCCTCTTAACTTCCTGTTCTTCTTGTAGGACTGATAGTCTGTTCTTTGCGCTCAGTGCTGGGGGAGCAGGTGGTCCCCTCCCATCAGAACATCAGCAGGTAGAGGGGGGCTACAGTCAGCAGGAGGCAGACGGAGGCCCGGGGCAGGGCGGCGGCCCCGTTCACATCGTGCATGGCCCCTGGACCTGCAGGAGAACACAGTACTTACAGCAATACTGCAGCATCAGCACTTAAATCCAGAGGTGGGAGGAGTACTCAGATCTAGTACTTGAGTATAGAAGTACTCCGATCTAGTATTTGAGTAAGTAGAAGTACCTGTTACAAGTAAAGGTATTTTATACACTGTTGTCCCTCTTCACTAGTATCCCATGTCCCCTCTTTATAATTTGGGTCTTCATAATTTCCACCCTATTCTAAGGGGAATCATGATGGTGCCTTTTCTTTTCAATTTCTGGCTTTGTGTTTCTTCACCTCTTACTGGTTTAATATTTAGGAGAGTGCATTTACGTAGTCACGTTGTGCCTCTCTTCCTCTGTTTCTGGCTGTTCTTTTCATAACCTTGTTTCTCTGAGAAGAGAAGAAATTCTATTCTAAAAGGAGCTGACACATGGTGTCTCTTCACTTGTACACTTGAGGGGTCAGAGTTCATACGGTGAGGGATTCCATGAGCGATATGCGCCGGCCTGTGCCTTTACCTTGGACTTCTAATAGAACTGCTCGGGTCTTGATAGATTGAGTGGGGAAGTTCATGAGATCTTTCTAGAGGGTTATCAAGAATAACTTTTATCCAATGACCTTTTCCCTCTCTGTCTGTGTCTGTGTATTCTCTTGTTCCGATTAACCCAGCCAAATCTTTTTTCTTGTTTTGTATCTATATCTACGCCGGGATTCGGAGTCGAGGCTGATCCTCTTGCTGTAGTCCTGTGTCTTGGATCCTCTATCCTGAGTTCTGGATTAAGTCGTGGACTTCGGGTCGTGGCTGAACCTGTCTCTGCGGTCCTGCCTTGGGTCTCGTCATGCTGCTTCCCTGATGGCTTCCTCAGGATTGTAGCTGACATCCTCGTGGATTCATCTTCTTATTACAGACACATGCATTTCCTAACATTCGGTCTATATGATGTAAAATGTATTATCTCTTCGATTTACACACGGCATCTATTGCACGTCTGTCCGTCCTGGGAGAGGGATCCCTCCTCTGTTGCTCTCCCTGAGGTTTCTCCCATTTTTTCCCCTCAAACTGTGGGTTTTCTCTGGAAGTTTTTCCTTGTACGATGTGAGGGTCTAAGGACAGAGGGTGTCGTTTTTCTCATACTGATATTCTGAATCAATCTGTGTTGTTGTATTTGCTGTAAAGAGTCTCTACTGTAGGCTAATTTTATTATATGTACAGCACTTTGGCTTGACCACAAATCGTTTATAAATGTGCTATATCAATAAAACTTGATTTGATTTGATTTGATTTATTCAAAATGTGACTCAAGTAAAAGTAAAAAAGCATTGGCATCAAAATATAGGTAAAGTACCAAAAGTAAAAGTAGTCATTAGCAGCTTTCACACCAAGTACTTTGCCGTACTTAGTGCCAGCACTTAGTGCCAGCACTTAGTGCCTGCACTTAGTGCCCCCATGGAACTAAGTACAGATCGCGTTCACACCGGAATAAGTTCCCTGGGAAGATTACGCAAATGAAGCCGCTGATGTCACTTCGTCTTCTTCTGCTTTGGGTTTACTGGCAGGCCGCTAACAACTTCACGGCGTATACTGCCACCCAAAGTCCCCGGAGTTGGGGAAGGCTTCAGTAGAAGCTGCTGGGACTCCCAGCAGCTTCTACTGAAGCCTTCCGAGTAAATCGCCAGAATGCTGACACCTCCTCATCTCCACCGCTCCCATGTTTTATTTTGTGTTGCCATAAGTTAGTCTCTCTCCGTTGGTGCGCAGGGCTAATGCTAATGCTAATAATGCTAATGCCAGAAAATACAATGGCGGCTTCACAAAACCTTTCAGAGTTTTACGGGGCGTGGTTTGCAATATGCCCAGCCAATCGATTCGCCCAGCCAATCGAAATTGGTACTTTTTTCTCCCCAGGATAGTCCCACCTCTCTAGCAGGGACTGAAAAGGGGGGTAAAAGTTCTCTGAACTAAGTTCTCTTTTTGGTGTGAACGCAAAATACCAGGCACTATCGGAACTAAACGGGAAAAGTACGGGAAAAAGTACTCTGGTGTGAACTGGAGTATAATATATATTATTCTTATTTATTTCAGAATAATATATGTTTTATAATGATTGATCATGAAAGTGTTCTCAAAGCTGGTAAAGGTGCAGCTAGTTTGAATGACTTTGTATACTGCAGGGTAGCTTGTGGATTTACTCCAGGTGGAACTAAAGTCTGATTTAACACTTGATTATATTTCACATCATTCATCCACATCTGTAAAGTAACTAAAGGTATTAAAGGGCCCATGTCATGGCCATTTCTACTGATCATAGTTCCATTGTTGAGGTCTACTAGAATAGATTTACATTGTTCAATGTTCCAAACTCACATTGGTTTCTCAAACAGCATCTCTGTAAAGTATGTGTATTCACTCTCTGTCCTAAACGGCTTGTTGGAGCTCCTGAGCCCACTGTGCTCTGATTGGTCAGCTCGCCCTCTCTGTTCTGATGAGTCCACCACCGTTACAGCGGAACATCAGTGATTATGTTTTACAATGGCGTTTGTTAGCAACCAGAAAAATGACACCAGTAATGACAAACAGATAAGAATGCTGCGTGGGGTCTGGGTGCCGTGTTGGGGGGACGTTGCGGGGCTCGCTGCTGTGAGGAGCGGACAGTGTGAGCTGGGTTACTGGTGTGTTACCGGTTGCTGCGTGGGGTCTGCGAGACAGCTCAGCCTGAGCACACACACACACACACACACACACACACACACACACACACACACACACACACACACACACACACACACACACACACACACACACACACACACACACACCACACACACCACACACACACACACACACACACACACACACACACACACACACACACACACACACACACACACACACACACACACACACACACACACACAGCCAGGCTGTGAGTGTGTGTGCGGAAATCTGCGGAGCCGCAGCTGAGAAAAGATAAGGCTGAGTGAGTGTGTGTGTGTGTGAGGAGCCGTTACGTCACTACGACCAGGAAGAAAACAATGGAAAAAGAGAAATGTCCAACGAGGCATTCTTGGGCAGCACAGACAGGTCTTCTCTGTGTTAGAGTTTTACTCCCTACAGGGTGTACTTTGAAGGTTTGTGACTGCAGACCGTTTACATGCAGAAAAACCTTCATAACACAAGGGGACGGGTGATAACCAGAAAAGCATGACATGGGACCTTTAAATACATGTAGTGGAGTGTACACCATTCACCTCTGAATTGTAGTGGAGTAGAAGTACAAAGCAGCATCAAATGTACCTCAATATTGTTCTTAAGTACAGTATCAGTAAGACTTCTTAGTTACTTCTTACCTCTGCTTAAATCAGTGCTTGAACTACATCTGATCTTCAATATGAACAGTGATTAACTGGAGCTCAGATGCTAACACGAATGCAGCTTATTATCTCTGGCAAATAAGAGCTTTACATCTGTGCTGCAAATTGCCATGGAAACTAGAGCAAGGTAGACATGAAAAGGTAAACCAGCGAGGAACATACAGCGGATGACCTTCAAGTGAGGATGTTTTTTTTTGTATTTTCTATGTGCAGCTGCTAGCATACCAATAACTATGTTCTAAACATAGTCCATTTAAAAAAATAATTAAAATATTTTACCATAATTAACACTTTCATCCACTTGTTATACTCACCGTCTGTATTCTTACCATAAAGGATTATGCTGGCATTAGTGATTCCCATATTATTCACTGCAACACATGTGTAGTTTCCATAGTCTTCTTCGGAGACGTTGAAGAAGACGAGCATCGACTGTTTACCCTGATTCTCTATCTTAACACCATTCAGTCCATTGAAGAGCCTGGAAACAGAGGAGAGGCTTTAAGGCTGATGAGCAGTAAAGCAAATAAACTCTGCTTGTGTTCATCCTCAGTCCTCTGAGGGGCAATAGATAGATAGATAGAGAGAGAGAGAGATATATATAGATAGATAGAGAGATAGACAGATAGATAGAGAGATAGATAGATAGATAGATAGATAGATAGAGAGATAGAGAGAGAGAGAGAGAGAGAGAGAGAGACACATATTTTTTACATTTTGAGATGTATTATACAAACATCTCAAAATATAAAATACAATCTGAACTTTTACGTTTAAATATAAATATACACATAGAGACAGTGGAAGATATCAGAAGACTGTCAAATATTCAGTATGAGGGGCTGATGTTATTAACATGAGTGTGATCCATGTGTCTGATTGTTGGCCTTTTTTCAAATTGTGGGCAGATGTACTTCAACAGGTCCTTCCGTCCTGCGGTGGTCAGACCACCACTGACCCCGGTACACCCCCACACACATTTAACAACACAGACTATTACCCCTCTGTTGTAAAATAACACCAATGTGCAATTATGTAAAACACTATGAAACAAACAAAGACTATGACACCTCTCGTATTCAGTCCATCCATTACTGTAACAGGAATCTTTACGTAACTATGTGCAATAATAATTGTTATATACCACACTTCCTTTTACAATACTGCACTTGCTTTATTTTATAAATACTGCTACTACTTATCTACCTGAATGTGAACTTCTGTGAAATTGTAATTTATTTTATTTTAAATATATGCATGCCTTTTTATAAAATAGTGTTCTATTCTCTTTGTCTCTATCTATATGTTGCTGTAACAACGTTATTTCCCCTTTGTGGGACAAATAAAGGAATTCTGAAATTGAGATTGTCATGAAAATAGAAATACATTTACACGTAAACCATTTTTCATATTGGAGCTAAAACTGAGTTCCGCTCAGTGAAGTGACTGCATGTGTGTGTGCACTCCATCCTTCAGTGCACAACATCCCTCCTGTTTCACTCACTGCATTTCTTATTTCATGTTTGGGGATGGTAAACATTTGCTTTATCAGCGACCTTCATTCTTTTACTCTTGAGGACTGATTTGGTCTTGTGGGGACTGATGAGCAGTGCTGTGTCTGTCAGGGCCCATTTAACAGTGAGCAGTGTTTACAGCAGCTGCAGCCTGCACTTTAAACATGTTGTACCTTGTGGGAATGTACTTAACCTCCGAGATACAACACACTTATAACCCGATTACAATTCAGATAATAATAGTTGCTTCTGTTTCCAATCCGCTTTAAATATGATTTGACCTAAAACAAGAAAAGGAAAAACGGAAAAATATGAATGTTCCTGATATGATGATTAACATACAGTGTTTCCCATTGAGAGAGCAATGTGCAGAACAAACAAGGAACACCTTATTACTTCAAAAGGACAGCCTAATTTTAGGGATGTGAAGAGCCATGACTGATCAACACGGAGCTGCAGTCTGGTCCCCACCCTGCAGCTCCGCGTGACAGAAGTCTGTGGCCGTTTCTCCATGTCGAGTAGAGCTGCTGCAGAGCCACTATTTCAAGTATACTACGTCATCGAGTGGCGCCGAATGCTGGGCATTTAACATGCATTTAAACAGTCCTTCGGCGCCACTCGATGACGTAGTATACTTGAAATAGTGGCTCTGCAGCAGCTCTACTCGACATTGAGAAACGGCCACTGTGTCTGTATTCTGACTTCAAACAATGGCATGCCTGCACAGATTCAGAGTTCAGGAGGGAGACTCGCCTGCTGTCTTCTTTGTACCACTCAAAATCTGCCCTGGGGACAGCAGAGGCTTCGCATTGCAGGACTCCTTTTTGTCCCACTGCTGTACCCGTACTCCTCGCTTTAGAAATGAAGGGAGGGTCTGTAAAACAAAGTCAAATAAACTTGATGTTGGTGTCATATACAGAATAAATCCACATTTCTTGTTGATTTTGGCAAATTCCTTTTTCTTTTAAAAATAAACTGACACAAAGAAGAATATGAAGCGGTTAGAGAATAGATAGTGACAACAGTTACTTATTTTGAGTGCATATAAGACCAAATAGTCAAATACAATGGTAAAAGAGTGGTCTTTATGTGATGATATTTTTGCCCCAGCCCCACATGATTCCACCAGAGTGATCCGTTTGACTCTTACAGTTCACTGTGACTTGCACTGTCCTGACGTCAGGGCTGGAGATGTCGTTAGAAGCGATGCACTCGTACGACCCTGACAGCTCTTTGGTGACGGCTGTCAGCTCCAGATGTTCCCCCTCCGTCACAAATGTATGAGTGCCTGTGCAGAAAAAAAGAAACAGAGAAATGTGTTAGTAAATCAGTCGTAGTATTCGCAATTAAGAAACATGTAGTGACCTTATTAGAATTTTAAATTCTAAATGCATATCACTGGGGCAGATATGTTATAGAATTGCAGCATCTTATAATGTATGTATTATTAGAAAGAAAACATTTGTCCTAATGGTTTGATAACAGACAACAATCAGCTTAAGTGTACAAATATTTTCAACAAAAGTTGTATGGGAATTGAAATGATATATATATTTATATGAATGTATATGTTATCTATTACGGGAGTGAGTGGGAGAAAACCCCCCTCTGGAGGGAACACAGGGATTCTACTGGAAGGATCTTGGTGAAGGTGGGCTTATGTAATGCATTGGTGTGAAAACTAGAACACGAAAGACATTTTGCAGAAAGCAGTGGATGAGAAGTCAAGTTGATAACATCTCAACTGTCACCTTTTCTTTTTAATTGTGGAGTTGAAATGTTAACTTATCAGGGGAGAACAATATAGTAATCATCTGTGTGAAATATGTTGATATATTTAAGAAGAATACATTTGAATCAGAGACCAGTTGCAGTGTGTCTATGCATTTGGGATTTGCTGTGTTTCCAGAGGGCATGCACTCATTACACAAAGAAAATAAACGAATTGCATCGAAACAAGCCTATTGACTAACAGCACAAATTACCCCTGACACCGGCAATGTTAAAGCATGTTCTGGTGACAGAAAGACCTTAAGCTATTGCTGCGTGGGTGGGAAATAGATGGGAGCACTAATCCCAATCAGTAGAAATGTCAATCCAGCAATATCTCCACATTAGCATAATACCATTATGTTTTCCAAATCCTCCGCTGCACACACTGTTGCAGCTGGCTGGGATTCACTGGGGGGGTGCTAGGGATAATCAGCTTGTTGCATGGAACCGGAGGAAGTGCTAGCACAGGTAATTTAGCATTCTCATCATGGTAACTGTATTAGGCCGAGAGTGGCTGTTGAATTACTGGCAGTGTGGTGAGAGAAAGTTATTTGTCAAAATATAATAATAATAATTATTAGCTGGTTGGATTTTTGGTACACTGAATTATTTCTCTAGATTGCATTATTGGTTTACAATGACAGTATGGGTGTTTCTTAGGTGTAAATATGCCTCAAACTAAACTTAAATTATGTCTAAAGTGATGTAACAATAACTAGTAAGTGTAACCTTAAATTCAGACTGTTAAACACTTTGTGGTACATATTTCAACATTGAAGTATTTGGAATCTGCCCAGCCAAAACCCAAAAGATGCTTCCAAAAGTAATATACTACTTCAATTCAATAAAGCAGCTTCTTAAAACTTTAATTTTGTCAAAGATACAGTATTTATCTCCAGATTCTTTCAACCAGAAAATGGTCTCTTATTTCCAAACAAAAACTGATTTGAATGATATTTCACAACCTGCAACCCGTCGGTCACGATTTAAAACAAGTTCCAGCAGTTTTTAATGAACTTTCTACTGATTCCCACTGAAGTCATTGCTGGTAGTGTGTGTGTGTGTGTGTGGTGTGTGTGTGTGTGTGTGTGTGTGTGTGTGTGTGTGTGTGTGTGTGTGAGTGTGTGTGTGTGTGTGTGAGAGTGGGTGTGAGTGTGTGTGTGTGTGTGTGTGTGTGTGTGAGTGGGTGTGTGTTGTGTGTGTGTGTGTGTGTGTGTGTGTGAGAGTGGGTGTGAGTGTGTGTGTGTGTGTGTGTGTGTGTGTGTGTTCTCAGTGTGTGTGTGTGTGTGTGGGTGTGTGTGAGTGTGTGTGTGTGTGTGTGTGAGAGTGGGTGTGAGTGTGTGTGTGGTGTGTGTGTGTGAGAGTGAGTGGGTGTGTGTGTGTGTGTGTGTGTGTGTGTGTGTGTGTGTGTGTGTGTGTGTGTGTGTGTGTGTGTGTGTGTTCTCAGTGTGTGTCCTCGTTATGTCGTTCATAGGTTTTAGAATCCAAACCAGAGAACAGAGCTGGAATGAAAGAATCAACTGATTGAGAACATTCAGAATGCACCGCAGAGCTGACAGAATGTAGGCAGTTACAAAAAGATACTGAACAAACACGGGACAGATCTAAGCATTATAATATAAATGTCAATCTGTATAACCCAGATAAATGGATATAAAGAAGTCAAAATCATTACGTATTACTTTGGATTAATGCATATAAAAAAACAATCACCATCATCATCAACACCCACATCAGTGGTCTACAGCGACGGCCATTATTCCAGCAAACATCAGTGTCAGTGCAGCCCGACTGGATGACTAATCAGAGAGCCATTAACGCACCGGCTGGCAGCGGCACAAATGAGCGTCTAAAAGCACTCAGTGGAGCACCTCAGCCATATTAGCCATTAGCTTAAGGAGCGTTGCTGCCCAGACGCCAGTGTGTGGAGAGATTACTGAAGCCCAATTACAAGCATTATATTAAAAAAGACCATAGATTGCAGGAAATGACTTGGTACCCTGACAGGAAACAAAAGGCCCTCTTTAGAACTGGTTGTATACAAATGTAATACACTCAATAAAGGACAATTCGTTAACACTTCGACAAGTGGACCTCCATCTGACAGACTGCACTCAAGAACTGAAACGTTGACTTTAATTAAATGTATAATGTCAACAGATTTCACATAACTGTATTAGGTTAGTTGAAAGCAATACAATTAAGTTGAACCTAATATTTTTTATTTAAACTTAATATTATAGCTTTCAACTAACCTAATACAGCTATGTGAAATCTGTTGACATAATACATTTCATTAAATACAATGTTTCAGTTGTGTGTGGCAGGCCCCAAATGTAACTTCACATAAAGGTCAAATCATTTTAGCCACCTTGAATTCTAAGCTAGTGCAATGGTGCATTGACTATTGAGATGTGATTTCATCCAACAGGAAATATGCCAGGGCCGCATTTTACAGCCAGTAGCCTTTTCGTCAACACAAAAGCTATAATTTGCAAGCTGTAAAAATGTGAAATCTGACACTGCAACAATCTGTGATCTGTGAGTAAGTGGCGTTGACCTTGTTAAATTAGCCCAAGGACTGAACACACATGCTCCCAAACAGACAAACATTAAATATGATATCCGATGCATGTGTTTACGTGTGATGCTTTAAAATGGTTGTTGTGTTGCAGCAAGAAGGTCTTTGATTCAAATCCACTAAATTGGCCTTTCTGTTTCCTTTGTATGTTCTTAACATGTCTATGAGCGTTTCCTCCCTTTCTAAATGAACAAAAAGCGAGGTGTATAAATGATGTAAGTAAACTCCTCTGATACAGTGAAGGCACGACAGAGAAATCAGAAAGATGAATGCTTCTGTTTCCTTGTTCCTTTTTTCTACAGGACTGTGGGCCAGATTTAGAAAATGTCATATTCCAAATAAACAGAGGGATTTTTCGCAGATTCATTGGAAGTGAATATATCCTGTTCTCCCAAACCTAAAAAACGTAACAGAAACCACTGAGGAAATATACACAATAAATATATGGGTTTAATTGTATTAATAATGCAATATGAGTCAAACTAACTTTATTGAACATTTATTCTTACAGAAAGGAGAACATGAAACACAACCACAACACTCAGTGCAGCAGTTTGGACCCAGCAGGTGGGGGGGGGAGGGGTTGGAACACCAGAGAGGCAGCTGAACGCTCACAGGAGGACATGCCTGATCAAAAGAGAGGTGGAGAGTACTTTCTGTAGAGATTTCACCAATTATGTAAAGCCAGGTTCAAATGACGGTTTACTGACCACAAACATCAAGGGTGGGGGGGGTACTTGAATACACTCAAAAGACCAAGTATTCTAAAATACAGTATAAATGAATTTCTCCGCCAAGCCAGCATTATGTCCATAAACCCAAAAATAGAAAAACATTAGAATGAATTTAGTTGACCTTTCAGATGTTGTTGTAGGGAGCCTCTGGAGCAGAAATGAAAGAGTTTTCACATGTTTTACGTTTTGGTAAGTTGTTTGCGAAATGTTGTAATAATGCAACGTTGGGCTTAGGTGGGAGCAGAATTCCTGTATTTCTACTCACATCGTCTGAATAAATATATTGAACAACTAAGGGTTGATTTGCAGGATGAATTGCTTACTTAGTCCTATATCAGTATATAGCATGAATAATAATCACACATCAGTCATATTTGTTATGAATAGTCATTTATTGAATATGAATATGGTAGTCCAAAAAACAGTTTCTGTCGTCAGAAAAGCACAGACGGACGTCACACTTGGTGCATTGGGTGTTTGTGTACCCTTTACTGCAGTGTCTACAGCATCCTCTCTTGGTCTTCCCTGGAAAATGTGCCATTAGGTCCTTCTGTACATCCAGTGGAGGTTGTGATCTCTTGGATGGGGCCCCGTTTGGTGGACTCCCATCACCTGAGGAGGGTCTCTTCTGAGCAATCAACGGGCTCCTTGATGTCACCGTCGCTGCTGGGCTCCCGTCGCCTGAAGATGGTCGTCCTCTCTTGGGTGTTTTCAGAGGAGTTGTGTTCACCTGATTAGAACAGAATCAATCAAGATACATGTCAAAAATACATTAGGATACAAGTCAAAAATATTACAGTGAAATAAAAAAAAATATTACAAACGGCAAATAGCAGAAATGCATTCTTACCAGGATGAGAGAAGATGCTAGATCTGCCTGAAACTGTCTCCTGGTCAGGATCTCCTGCGTTGCCATCTTTAGAGCTCTGCAGTCCCGCTTGTAGAGGAGCCAGGCGTTGATCACAGCAAGGATGATGGTATGCCAGAAGATGTACACGTACCAGCGTCGGGACTTCATGGGGAACTTATATTTGGACGTAAACGAGTCCAAAAAATCCACACCTTCCATGTACGTAGCCACAATGGGAGGCCTCTGAACTTCTACGTAGGTTTTGTTTGCTTTGTCCCAGCGTTGAATGTTCTGCACAGGCTGTGGTCCAGCAAAGGATGAGTGAAGTGTGACCGCTCTGCTGTCATACC